TAGAAGCCCTAATCATGAAAGAAGTAAGAAGCCAGAGAATTATTAGCCTGGATTTTTGTAAGGAAGCTGGGATTACTGAGATGATTCAGCAGGTTGTAGTAGATTGGGTGCTGGAGGTAGAGGCGGGGTTGTAGGGAAGTTCATGCCAGGAATATGGCTCAGGAGCATTGTTAAATATTTAAAAAAAAATCTGGGTATAACATAATTATTTTGTTTTTTGTTGTGGCAAAATATACATAAAATTTACTACTCTTACCATTTTTAAGTGTAGAGTTCACTGGCCTTACATCTATTCATATCATTGTGTGAACATTGCCACCATCCATTTCCTGAACTTTTTCATCTTCCCAAACTGAAACTCTATATCTATTAAACATTAACTTCCTATCTCCCCTCTCCATAACCTCTGGCCACCACCATTCTACTTTCTGTTGCTATGAAATTGACCATTCTAGGTACTTCATATAAGTAGAATCATACAGTATTTGTCCTGTTATAACTGGCTTCTTTCACTTAGCATGTCTTCAAGGTTCATCCACATCGTAGCACGTGTAGCAGGTGTTAGCATTTCCTTCCTTTTTAAGACTGAATAATAATCCTTTGTATGTATCATATTTTGTTCATCTATTCATTCATCAATGGACACCTAGGTTGCTTCTGCCTGTTGTGAATAATGTTATTATGCTAGTTAATCTTACTAAAGGTTTGTCAATTTTGTTAATCTTTCCAAAGAACTAACTCTTGGTTTTGTTGCTTTTTCTCTATTTTTTTATTATCTGTTTTTATCTCCGTTCTAATCTTTAATATATCCTTCCTTCTGCTACCTTTCAGTTTAGTTTGTTTCTTTTTTCTGTTTCCCTAGGGTGACTAGTTAGGTGTTGACTTAAGACCTTTTTTCTTTTTTAATGTGTTTACAGGTATAAATTTCCCTTTTAGCACTGCTCTTGCTGCATCCCATAAGTTTATGTTGAATTTTTATTTTCAGTTGTCTCAAGATATTTCCTGATTTCCTTGTTATTTCTTCTTTGAATCATTAGTTGTTTTTAATAATGTGTTAATTTTCACATATTTCTGGAATTTGAAATGTGAATTTTTGTGTTCTTTCTGCTGTTGGTTTCTATCCAATCTGGTTGTGATTGGAAAAGATACATTGTATGATTTCAGTCTTTAAAATTATTAAAATTTGTGTTGTGGCTTAACATATGATCTGTCCTGGAGAATATTCCATGTGTATAAATTTGAGAAAAATGTGTATTGTGTTATTGGATGAAATGTTCTATATATATTTGTTAAGTTCATTTGCTCTATAGTGTTTTTCAACTCTAAATCTAGATCTTTTCATTGGGGAGTTTAATCCATTTACATTTAAAGGAATTACTGATGGGGAAACATTTACTTTGGTCATTTTGTTATTTGTTTTCTCTATGTTTTATAGCTTTTTTCTCCCATATTTCCTCCGTAACTATTTTCCTTTGTATTTAGTTACTTTTTATAGTGACAAGTTTTAATTCCCTTTTCATTTTTTTGTGTGTATATTCTATAAATATTTTCATTGTGGTTACCATGGAGATTACAAATACTGTCCTAAAGTTATGACATTCTATTTTATATTGGTGCCAACTAAACTTCAATCACACACAAAAACTACTCCTTTATAGCTTCACCTCCCTGTATGTTATTGATGTCACAAGTCAAATCTTTATATGTTGTGTCCTCGTTAATATAGATTAGTAATTATTTTCAGCATTTGTCTTTTGAGTCCTGTAAAAAAGAAGTAGATTTATAAATTAAAATTAGAACAATACTGGTTTTTATATTTTTTAAAAAGATTTTATTTATTTGACAGAGATACAGAGCCAGAGAGCACAAGTGGAGGGAATGGCAGAGGGAGAGGGAGAAGCAGGCTCCCCACTGAGCAGGGAGCCCAACGTGGGGCTTGATCCCAGGACCCTGGGATCACGACCTGAGCCAAAGGCAGACACTCAACCATCTGAGCCAGCCAGGCACCCCTACAATTTTCTTTTTTTTTAAAGTAATTCAAGAGGTAGTATTTAATGATTCATCACTTGCATATAACACCCAGTGCTCATTATATCAAGTGCCCTCCTTAATGCCCATCACCCAATTACCCCTTTCCCCCACCCACCTCCCCTCCAGCAACTCTGTTTGTTTTCCTAGAGTACAGCATCTCTTATGGTTTGCTTCCCTCTCAGTTTTCATCTTATTTTATTTTTACTTCCCTTTCCCTATGTTCATTTGTTTTGTTTCTTAAATTCCACATATCAGTGAGTCATATGGTATTTGTCTTTCTCTGACTGACTTATTTTGCTCAGCATAATACTAGTTATATCCACATTGTTGTGAATGGCAAGATTTCATTCTTTTTGACATTTACCTTTACTAGAGAACTTTGTATTTTCCTATGGCTTCAAGTCACTGTCTTGCATCTTTTCATTTTAACTTGAGGGACTCTATGTAGTATTTCTCATAAGTCAAGTCTAGTGGTATCAAACTCCCTCAACTTTTATTGGTCTGAGAATGTCTTAATTTCTCCCTCATTTTTTGAAGGACAGTTATCCTAGATGTAGAATTCTTGGTGGATAGTTTGTTTTTTTTCCTTCAGCACTTTGAATGTATCATCCTTCTGTCACTGCCCTGCAAATTCCTGGTGAGATAGCCACTGATGGTCTTATTGGGGATCATTCATACATATCAAGTTGCTTTTCTCTTGCTCCTGTCAAGAATCTCTTTTTGTCTTCAGCTCTGACAGTTTGATTGTAATGTGTCTTGGTTTGGGCTCTTGGTTAATGCTACTTGGAGTTCACTGAAGATTCTTGGATTTGTATATCCATGTCTCCTCAAATTTGAGAGGTTTCCAGCCATTAATTCTTCAAATAATCTCTCTGCCCCTTTGCTTTCTTCTTTTTGGGATTTCTGCAATGAGTGTATTTGTCTGCTTACTGATGTTGTGTATGTCCCTCAGGTTCTATTCACTTTTCCCCATTCTCTGTCTCTTTTTGCTCTACAGACTGAATAATTAAAATGACTTGTCTTCAAGTTATCCCATTCTTTCTTCTTTCTGTTTGAATCTACTGTTGAACTTCTATGGTGAATTTTTCTATTCAGATATTGTATTTTTCAGCTCCAGAAATCCTGTTTAGTTTTTTTATACTTTTTCTTTATTGATATTTTTCACTTTGCTGATATAGCCTCTTCCTGATTTCTTTGTCCATGTTTTCTTTAGCTCTTTGAGCATATATATATGGCAGTTTGTTTTAAAATCTTTGTCTAGTAAGTCCAGTATGTGTTCTTTAGAGACTGTTTCTAGAGATGTATTTTATCCTTTTGAATGAGCTGTGTTACCCTGTTTCTTTGCCTTGTGTTTGTTGTTGTTGTTGAAAATTGTATGTGCACCCCAATGTTTATAGTAGCAATGTCCACAATAGCCAAACTGTGGAAAAAGCCAAGATGTCCATTGACGGATGAATGGATAAAGAAGATGTGGTATATATACACAATGGAATATTATGCAGCCATCACAAGGAATGAGATCTTGCCATTTGCAACAACGTGGATGGAACTGGAGGGTGTTGTGCTGAATGAAATAAGTCAATCAGAGAAAGACATGTATCATATGACCTCACTGATATGAGGAATTCTTAATCTCAGGAAACAAACTCAGGGTTGCTGGAGTGGTGGGGCGTGGGAGGGATGGGGCAGCTGGGTGATAGACACTGGGGAGGGTATGTGCTATGGTGAGTGCTGTGAATTGTGCAAGACTGTTGAATCACAGATCTGTACCTCTGAAGCAAATAATGCCATATATGTTAAGAAAAAAAAAAAGATAGCAGGAGGGGAAGAATGAAGGGGAGTAAATCGGAGGGGGAGATGAACCATGAGAGACGATGGACTCTGAAAAACAAACTGAGGGTTCTAGAGGGGAGGGGCGTGGGGGGATGGGTTAGCCTGGTGATGGGTATTAAAGAGGGCATGTTGTGCGTGGAGCACTGGGTGTTATGCACAAACAATGACTCATGGAACACTACATCAAAAACTAATGATGTATGGTGATTAACATAACAACAAAAAATTTAAAGAAAAAAAAAGAAAATTGGGCATTTGAAACAACAGTCACCTCTCTCAGTGTTTGCAGACTGGTGGGGAACACCTTCATTATTTGGCGGGCTCCTAAGCATTAAAATCAGTATGGGGTGATGGCTTTAGATCTTCTCAGATGTTTTCTGGGCACGAATCTACTCTGGCCTGTGTGTGCGCCACCTTTCTTTTCCTCCCAGCTTTCCCTGGCTGCTTTTACATGTCTTAATTTCCCAAAGAGTCTCACGCCAGCTTTTTTTTGTGGCCTTAGATCTTCTATCATATTCCTCTGCCTATCATCCCTTGCACCCTGGCATACAAGGGTCTGTAGACCCCCTGAAATTTTCATATGCTGTGATCTTCATTGCCTTATGTAGCTTCCAACCTGAGGTCCAAGCTATGCCATTTCCTGTCTGAGCTCCAAGGCAGATAAGACTGAAACTAGTCTACTGGGCAGCCTACAGACAGCCCAGAATATTGCAAACAAGTTCCATTTTGCTTCTTCTGTCTTGAGGGAGGGAACTGGGAATTGGGTTGCTTTTTTCTGACAATGCCATGCTATGCCGGGGAGGAGGGTAGGGCGAGAGTGAGCAAAGACACCATGAGATTTCTTATCATTTTAAACTATGTGTTTTCCTTGATTTGCTTAAACATTTAACTGGTTTCCAGAGCTTTTATAAAGTTATTTTTGTCAGTTTGTAATTGTTTATTTGATGTTTCCATAAGAGAGCAAGGACCTGGAGCTCCCTACCTACTCTCTTACTGACATCATTCTCAATTATATAACCAAATCTTTTCAGACTTTTGCTTTCAAATGGAATATTTTGCTGGTAATTGGTGATAAGTGTGGTGAAATTAGTACAGTGTCCACTATAAACTCAGCTTTTGTTTGTCTCTATCCCCAGTACAAGCACGGAGGCCCCATCATTGCTGTGCAGGTGGAGAATGAATATGGTTCCTATAACAGAGACCCTGCCTATATGCCTTACATCAAGAAAGTAAGAGTCAACTTGGTTTATTTCTTCATATTCCTTCCTCTGAAATGTAGTATGGGCTATGATGTGACATGTTGGCCTAATTCTTTTCTCATATTAATACCACATTTCCTAGCACCATTTATTAATTAGTGAATCCTTTCACCATACTTTTATTTCAGTGGGGACACCACTTATTTACCCTTTATCGATTGAGTCTAATTGGGGGTTGCACTACACACATGTAATTTGCAATGGCTGAGAATAAAGGGATGGGCTTCATTGAGTGTGATGATTAGTGAAGTCTCTCTGTAGAGTCTGCTTTCATTCTAGCATCTAAAGCAAGGGTTCCCAGCTTCATCTGAACATACACTTTAAAAATCCCTATGCCCAGGCCACATACCATACCAATCAAATAAGAATCGCTGGGGTGGTCCTCAGACATCTGATTTCAATGTGTAAGTTAGTTTGAGAACCACTGATTGAATGTGTGGCAGATCAGCATATGGCAGGGCTAGATGACACTTAAAAAAACAGGCTTGTTTTTTTAGATCTGGTTTCTATCCTTTTGTAGCTAAGGCCTTGAGCAAATGCCTTTTAATTTTTCTAAACCTCCATTTTCTCTTCTTTAAAGTGGGACTAGTGAGAGAACTTGCCTCTCTGAATTGTGCATGTGTGTGAGATCACCTGGCTCAGGACTGTTCTAGGCATGTAGTAAGTAGTCAATAAATAAGACTTTGATAGATTATTGGCAGTGGTTTTAGGGTACTTAGAAGGACGGGCCATGGTGTGGGTTGAGGAAATGTTAAGTGGCCTCAGAGAGTCCACCTAATTAAAGCTGCTTTAGTTTTGGCCCTTGATGTCAGCATCTCTTTTGCTGTCATAGGCAGATTCATTTTCCATCTGGAAATCACTTAAGTTCCTGCACACAGGCAGACCAAGCTCAAGCACTCTAGCTTATAGGTTCTCATCTACTCTTGCCGCCTTCTTATCACCTGCAGAAAGCCCTGTGTAGGGAACAAGCCTGTATCTAGGAAGAGGCATTCCCAGGCATCCTGATAGTCAAGCCCAACTGTGGCCTGTTTAGACCATACCTCCAGCTCCATCTTTGCCTTTGAATTAGCTAGAAAGATTCCAGCCAGGGCTCCATGATAGGAGAGCTTCTCCCACTATAACTCCTTCCCTTGGACTGTCTCTCAAATGCTGGGGCTTCTCCAGCAGGTGTCTACTGAGTCCTGAGCTGTAGAGAAGGAGAGTTCTGCTAATAGGTGGGGAGGAGAGGGCAACCACTTCAAGGGGCTTCTCCAGCTCAGTCAACACTTCCTTGGTGTCTGGAGAAGGTATCCATATGTGAGACAGATGGACAAAGAGAAGCTGCAGCACCCACCCTCTGTCATCCTGACCTCTTGGGAGGATCCCCTCTTAAGCTGTCTTGCAGCTTCTCCTGGGTGTTGCGGACATAAGGACACCATCAGCACAGGATGACCTCGGGTCAATCACCTCACCTTTTTGAGCCTTAGCTTCATCATGTGCTGAATGGAGACAGATTATAGACACAAGACCCGTAACTCTGCTTGGCAGATCACTGGTGCTCAGGCTATAGTAATTACCCCTTACAGTGTGCAGTCAATAAATTAATGCCTGTAAAAAGTCAAGTGTAATAGTACAGCTGTAAAAGAAGGTTACACCCTCCCAACCCCCACGATCTTAGATGCATAAGGTAGGAACTGAGGCAAAGCCTGTTACATATTGGCGAATGACTGGCTGGAGAGTTGCGAGGTGCTGGATCCAGGGCTTTTAATAAACATCTCACCTTGCTTAATGGATTGAACATCTGCAGTTCTGTTGTCTCTGAGAATTAGGGCCCCCTCTGCTCTTCCCTTACTGGCATCAGGCTTTAGACATGAACATTATGTACCCACTGGATTATCTCTCTGTCTCACCTATTTCGCAAAGAATTTGGTTGAAATAAGCAGTCTTGTCAAAATATCTGCAGGAAAAATTAGAGGAAAGTCCCCCTTGCCAGGGTTTCTGATCCTTTAGAGCCCACAGCCCCAGAGCAGACCTACCAAGGTGGACAGACTCTGGATTCAGGTCCATACCATCTAATTTGCTCTGTATCCCTTAACCCTTTATTCAACCTGAGACTCTTCCTCTGTACAGTTATTAATTGTGAAGAGTGAATAGGAGAATCTATGTAAAGTGTTTAGCAGAAGGCCTAGCATGATTGTAAGTGGTTCATAGATGGCAGCAGGAGTAGTAAAATGGTTATTGCCTCTCAGCATAGTGTGTAACTCCTTCCACTTCTTCATTTGATGACTTTCAAGGAGCTTTTCCTGTTCTACTGGGTACGTGCAATGTGTCATGGGCATGTGACTGTGTTGGACACAGCCCTCCCTGGCCCAGTGTGGGGGAAGAGTGGGCTGCTTGCTTCTGGTGTAGGGGGAGCTGGAGGGTCAGGAGGGCCTGGCCTGCTCTTGGAGACCATGTAAGCCGGCCTCTGAGTGGGGCCGTCTAAGAATAAGCGCACGCACTAGCCAGATCTGGCACCTCACCAGATCTGAGGCAGCTAAGGGATGCCAGAGTCTGACAGCCCTGCCCCTGCCACAGCTGGACTTCAGCTAATAGGAGCTTTGTTGACCATGTTGGGCACAGACAGGATAGGTTTCTGTCCACTTTTTGCAGAGAAGTAAATGCTTTATTTTGAATCTTTCCCTCTTTCTCTTGTAGCTGACACCTTCCCAGCTCTGAGGAACGACAGATTGACTTGTTTTCTTTTCCCCCACAGGCCTTGGAGGACCGAGGTATTGTGGAATTACTTTTGACTTCAGACAACAAGGATGGCCTGCAAAAGGGAGTCATGGATGGAGGTGCCTGCCTGGAAGCTGTGCGGGTGCGGGGGGGTATGGGGGGAGGCGGCACCCTGGCCTCACTCTGCATGCATCCCTAAATGGCCTGGGCCGCAAGTGGAGTTTCCCTGATGTCTGGGCTTCTCCCATTTGCATGGCATTGGGCCCAAAGCTCTGGGCCTCAGAGGGCTGGAGGATCTGTGGCAGACGGATCTCTGGTCTCCCACTTGTGCTGAGCACTCACTCAGGACACTAATAGTGCTCTGCAGACTGCAACACAGGAATGGTGAGTTGGTCATCCTAGACGGAAGTTCTCTGAATGCCTGCAGAGAGGGCAGAGCAGATGAAGCATTATGGGGTGTCCTGTGAGGGTGGCTTACTCAAACGCTGCCAAAATCATGGAGATGGCTGACCACCACCCAGGGGGCATGTAGCCCCTGTGGTGATGGCAGCTGGCTGGGCAGCAAGTGAACAGAAGATGACTGTGGCTGCCCTCCATCAGCGCCGTCTGTTTTCCTTACTCTGTGTCTCTTCCTGTTACTGTAGAGGCACTGGCCCAGCTTCACCCTTGTGCACCAAGCCCCTTGTCCCTCAGTTACTCAAGGGCGTTGCTCCAGCAACTCCCGCTTCTGCCCTGGGTCATCAGATTTTCCCTCTCTATTGGGTCATTCCCATCTGCATGTAAACATGTTGTTATTTCTCTCTTGTAAAACAAATCTCTTGATTCAGTTCCCTTTCCAGAGGCTGCTGTGTTTCTCTGCTCCCCTTCAAGAGATCTCCCCATGTCCATGCTCAATGGCTGCCCCAGTCCATTTCCTCTCCATCTCTCTTAAACCATCGGGGTCACGTTACCACCCTCACCATTCCACTGTGCTGCTCTTTTCAGGGTTGCCAGTGACCTCCATGTTACAAATTTAAATGCTCGTCCTTGTCGCCTCTGACCTCTCAGATTTTGTCAGCAACCATTAGTCTCTTTCCTCCCTTGGTGTCTGAGACCCAATTTCCTGTTTTTTTCTCTGACCTCACAGGCTGCTCCTACTTGGTATCTTCTGCTGGTCACTTCTCTGTTCCTGAGTTCTGATGTTTAAATTCTTTACCTCTCACTCCTTGGAATGAATATTCCTCCTCTCTATACACTCACCACCCTGGTGATGTCATCCAGGTGCCTTTAGGTCTGACCTGTGTGTTGATGAGTGTGAGATGCACGTCTCCATGAGCAACCTTCCTGAACTCCTGCCTCACGTGTGCATCTGCCTACTGGGCACAGCACCCTGGGAAGGCTGCCGGTCTCAGTGGAACCCGTGGGGAACTGAACTTGTCTGTTTCCCTCCCAGAGCCTGTCCCACCTTCCGTCTTCTTTTTCTCAGTAAATTGCAACTCCATTTCCCCCAGTTGCCCAGCACCTAAACTTTGTAGGCACTTTCAGGCCTCTCCTTGTGTATGCCTGACACACAGCAAATCCTAAAAATCGTTAGCTTTATCTTCAAATTTATCCAGATGCAAGTAAGTTTTACCCCATCTGCTATTACCATCATTCTCATGTGGGCTGTTGCAGCAGCACTGAACTGATCTCCTTTCTTCACTGCTGACTCTGACACCACTTTTTCTCAACATAGCAGCATTTGCAAATGTCATTTGGATTGCCTCAGGCCTCACCTTAACTCCAGGTACATCCTGCCTTCCTCACACTGAAGCACAAGTTATGAGAAAGGCCTCGAAGGGCCTCCTTTGACCTGTGACCTCTGTGACCTGGCTAGGTGTCTCCTGGCCCCCCTCCCCTGCCATCCTGTTCCACCCTCCTCCTGGCCTCCTATCTCTTTCTGGAACATACTGGACATCCCCAGCCTTCCTGCAAGACCTCTCCTCCCACTTTTCTCCCAGGTCACCTCGAAGTGAGGCTTCCTCTGAGCACCCATTTGAAATGCAGCTCCTTCTGGAGCTCACCCAGCCCTTGAGCCCTGCTTTATTTTTGCCTTCTAACATTCTGGGTAGTTTCTTTGTTTCATTCACCTGTTTGACTGCAGCGGTAAGATCCACCAGGGCCTGGGTTCCGTCTTGTTTGGTGGTGCCCCTGTGCCTGGACACGGTTCATGCTCCGCAAGGATGATGGTCGTTGAAGGGCCTCCTATCAGCTGCCAGATACTTCCTAAGGGCTCCCACCACCTGCTTGCCTCTGTGGCAGCATGCCTGGCTTCCCGTTCCTTCTGCGTCGCCCTCCCCTCTACTAGAGTGAACAGATAGAGCCTTTCATCTCCGCGGCCCTAGGTCAGCGCCGGCCTGCGGGGGGCACTCGGGGGTGTCTCGTTGGATAAACGGGCAAGAGAAGGCCTTTTCCCCAGACCCACTGAGCTCCTCGAGGACCAGTCGCGATTCCCGCCGCTTCCACGCGATGGCAGTCTCCTTGTGGCTGCTTCCAAGGCCTCCGCCGCTCCATCGCTTCCGGTGGGGCCTGGGAGGGGCTATGGCCAGTGCCAGCAGGCAAGACCCTTTGGAGGCGGGTGCACAGGTTTAGCGCGTCAGCACCGCGCTGAGCAACGCCTCCGACGCAACGGAGGGAGTGGACGAGGCCGGCTGCCGGACTCCAGGCCCTCCTCCACGGCCCGCTCCGCCCCTCGCCACACCCCCGCCCCGCCCCGCCGTGCCCCTCTCCCCCGCCTTCGTCCCCGGTGCCCCGCCCCCTATCCCCTCCTTTCTGACCCCGCTTCCGCGCCACCCCCGTGCCTCCCCTCCCGGTGCCCTGCACCCCAACCCTGACCTCCGGAGCTCTGCCTGCTGTCGGAAGGACTTTTCTCCATTACTTAAGAACGTAATTAGAGTGAAGACATCCACAGGTGTAGAGTAAGATCACAGAAATGCTGACTCCTCCTCCCCGTCCCCAGACGTGACCCTGGCCCGCGGCATCCCGGCGGCGTAGCTCCCCGGTGATTCTGACCGGCTTCGTGGGCCGGCCTTATCCGCGTCGAGATGCCCCTCCTGCCCGCTGCCGTGCGGTACGAGCGGTATTCGGGGCGGTGTTGTTGAACTGACTCGCTTTCGCTGGGCTTAGTTTTCACGTTCAGTGTAACTATCCCGTTTCTTTTTCTTTTCTTTCAATTCTCTCTTCTCTCCCCTTTCTCTTTCATTGTTATTTTTTGTTTAAATTTGACTTGACACACATAGCTGACACACGTTACATTAGTTTGTGTACCCCCTCTTCTCTTTTAAACAAACGCTTTACCAAAGATTTTCCAAACTCCTGTCACGTGTGTTTCAAATATCTGTACATATCAGACTCTATGTCAAGTCCGATGGGTCTGAGACCCGACCGCCCCTGACCTGATGGAAGCCGGCTACCCGGCTTTACCGGAGGCTAAACTCTGGGTCTCCTGCCCAATTCCCCCCTTCTCTGCGCTGTGGCCAGATTTTCTAGCACCCACCGTCACCCTGAGGTACAAGGACATTCTGGTTCCTGATCCTTTTATATGTTCTTCCTGTTTATTTTCCTTCCCATTTCTAGAAAATTACAGCATTTTCCTTTTATCCTGGGTATTCTGGTCTATCTTTGGTGTGGGATTATTTTCCTTTTGTGGAACTTTTGGGCGTCATTTGAATTGAAACAGTTGGACATCCAGTCAGTGGATTTTTTTTTTTTTTTTGAAATGCTTTCCCTTCTTTTTTCTGATCTTTTGGTCACTCCTGTTATTTGTAGGTTGGACTCTCATATCTATTCTCTAAGTTGCTTATATTTTTGATATATGTCTGCTCTTTAGTTCCACTTTCTGGGTGACTTCCTCAATTTGTCTTGTAATCCTCATATTTCCTGGGTCTTGTTTCCTTGAATATATTTCTTTTCTCATGGCATAGTTTTTAAATGGACACAATCTTTCTTACTTTGTTCTGAGGATATTTTACTTTTACTTTTTTAATATTTACCAGTTCTGCTCAATCTTCCATGTGACGGGATTTTCTCAGTTGTCTGGCTCTGGACTGAGCAGTTTAAAGAGGAGGCACTAAACGGCCAGTTGGGAGCTGAGTGCCAGGAGGGGCTGGGGCAGGTGTGCTCCCTTATGGGGTGTTGGGGCTGGGGTGTGCTGTTTCCAGGAGGGAAGCCCAAATGTCAGTGTTTGGAGATATTGTCTTTAGCTCTATTAAGTGTTTCCAGAGACAAATCCTTTGGTCTGTTGCTGCAGATATCCTGGGAGCAGACAGGAGGAATGGGCAGGAATCCTTTGGCTGAGATGGCCCTTACTGACCAGCTGCAGATCTCTTAACTTCACACTCTGCTGCGCTGATCCCTCCCAGCCTGGAGACACTCAGCTTTCCTAGAGAATGTGGTCCTCCAGGGTGAGGCACCAGTGGGGGAGAGGCTTGAGGAGTGTGTGAGGCATGGGATGGAAGTGTGTTCCCTGCTGCACAGTGCCTGGGACGTGAGACAAGGACTGGGGCTGGAGGTGGGGAGCCTGTTGAAGCTTCTTCCGCTCTCCTATGCTGCTTACTGACCCACTGCCCTTTGCAGCCTCCTGAGATTTTCTTGAAACTTCCTCTCTGCTTTGTCTCCTCTCTAGGTCTTGTTCTTTATGGCCTTCCACCTTTGGATTCCTTTATTTTTATATTAGTGAGGGGTCAGGAAGGCTAGGAATAGATGCCATGTTTTTAGCCATGCTAATCCTGTTCACTTCTGAGATTTCTGCCTGCTAGGTTTCAGATGGGCATCCTATCTTCAAGGTTTCTCCTTTAGGTGAGGAGGGGTCTGGATGTAGGGTCTTATCCAGTGGCTTGCTGGAGGATGGTGACATCACAGGACGATGGGTCAGTGTCAGATGGGCCTGGGTTGCAGCACTACTCTGCTGCTCACCAGTTGTGTGACCTTGAGGCAAGTTATTTAACCTCCTGGAGCCTCATCTGTTGTTTGTTTTTAATCACTGGTAATCAGTGGCTTATGTCTACCAGGAGAGTGTCAGGGTGGCCAGCTTGGCAGGCTGGTCAGTCTTTGTCATGCATTCCCAGACCTGCCCGAGCTCAGGCCAAGCCCAGTGCATATGAGGCCTACTGTCCAAGCAGACAACAGGCAGGCAAGGAGCCTCAGAGCCAAGTTCTGCAGCTGGGGTAGGCCAAAAGGTCCATGACCTTTTGGCCAAATGTAGCACATCTTTCTTGGGCATACCTTTCACTGATGCCATTTAAAATATAATTCTAAACTAAAAAAATGGACATATTATGGAATGAAATAGAAAATTAGCCCTCACTTAAGAAATAAAAGGGAAGTCTTCATTTAGATTACTTTGCACTAGATGCTTGAGGTGCAAAACAAAGATCAGACTCTGGGCTCCTATGAAAGAATAATTACCAGAGAGGTACACTCTGCTTGTAAAAATTACATTAATCAAGAACAGATGCCCAGTGAGTGATTGCCCTGTAAGCTGTGAGCTGAGTGGTGGTTTCTGAGAGGAACAAGATAAATCTCCTGACATCAGAGCAACTAAACTCTAATGTGAGGTGGGAAACAATGTCAAGATTAATTTATTTTGCTGGTAAATTGGGAAAGGTCTGGGTTAGTTCAGAAAGTCTCCCTGGCTTTTAAGACAATGCTTTGTTTCTCTTTCTCTTTTCCATTTACAGTGCTGGCCACCATCAACCTGCAGTCACAACATGAGCTGCAGTTATTAACCAACTTTCTCTTAAGTGTGCAGGTAAGTCTGGCCCAGGGGCAGCTGCCTGCTCTGCTTGGTGCAAGTGTAGAAAGTCCTAGAGTCAAATGGAGCCTCTGTCAGGAAGTGTGCAGTGCTGTGAGGTACCTGCAGCTATGTCCAGGGCTCTAGGATGGGGAGAGGATGACTCTGGGCTCGCTCAGCCTATCACCTCCCAGCCATCCTTCTGCCTCTGCATCCTTCATCCTCTGCCTCTGCATCTCATCCTTCATCCTCTGCTTCAACCACAGAGGCTCAGGACTAGAATTCTGTGGACTCCATTAGCCCCAGATATGCTCATCTTGGGATTGAGAGGAGTAATGCTTTCCTGACCTGTACTGTGTGTCTGACTTTAACCCGTAAGGCTCCTCTGTGCCTAGAAAGGTTATTGTCATCAGCAAGATGGGAAGCCTGGGCCATTCCAGGTCAGAGGAGAGAGGAGAGAAGTTTCCGAGTACAAATTCACATCCTTCAGGTTGATGGGAATTTACAGTTAAATCCTATTCTGATTGATTTCTTTTCTTTTGAGTTCACATGCCTCTCCTAAGGAGGCAGATGGTACCTGGCCACAGTAGTGGCAGCCCATTCACAGAGCTAGGGCTCCATCCCTCACCGTGTCTTACTGAAGGGTGTGAATGCCCCAGACTGTCACCACCTATTAGGTGTAGGCATTGATTCCCCGGGCCTAGTGGGGAGCTGTTGGAACTTTAGCATCACCCGTGAGTAGATGCCTACAGAGATGCTGGGGCTGTTCTCCATTCCACCTGTTCATTTCTTAGAGCAGAAGTAGGTCCAAAGGCACATCCATATGAAGTCACCAGGGGAGTGTGAAGCTGTGGAGGATGAGGGCCACCTGTGTGTATGATGTGGCTACTATCTGAGTTTAGAGGGACAAGTGGAATGCTCAGGGAAGGTGACCAGTAAGAAATGGGGCAGGATGGGACCTGACACCAGGCAGACTTTGTTAGATTGAGTGGGGGAGAGACAGTGGGTCCCGGTGGGCCAAGGTCCAGCCCCTTTTTCCTTTCCTTCCTTCCTCCAGTGTTGACTGAGTGCCTGCTCTGTGTGTGGAATGTGGCTAGGCCCTTTTACCCTGTGGTGACGAAGATGGCAGGTCTTTGCCTTATGGGTTTGTGACCAACCTGGGGAGTAAACAAAAATAAACAATAGCCCAGCAACTAAATAGGATCGTACCTGAGTGCTGTCTAAGGCAGGTATAGGATATTGTGAGCTGTCTCTCTGCCCACTTGGTAGTGTGACCCCTCTGCTTCTCTTTCCTCTTCTGTGAAGTGGGGATAATGATAGTACCTGCTGGGGGGATTGTTTGAGGATCAAATGAAGAAATATTTGGAAAGCACCCAGGAAAGCAAGGCTTCGTGTTGGCTCCTTTATGGTCATCCTTAGATAGGGGCCCCACGGCTGTATAACCAGGCCGGGTCATCCTGCTGACAGATGCACCGTTAATGGCCTTTCTGTCTGCAGTTCAGTTCAGTGATGTTTTCCTCAAGGAAGGGGACTTAGAGTCTGCTTTGAATGCTCAAACAGGACAGGCCCTGCTCTGCTCAACTTTGGGATGTCCAACAGCACTCTGCTGGGCCCTCATGTGCATGTCCAGTAATGATATCTGATAATTAACGTGGATGTTTCTTGAGCACTTCCCAAGTGCTAGACACCATGTGCTAAAGGCTTTACATGCATTATCTCATTTAATTCTCCCAGTAACCAGGTCAGCTGGATACCGTGGTTACTGTTGTACAGTTAAGGAGACTGATTTGAGAACAAATAGAGCACCCAGTAAGTGGCAGGTGAGGGGGTACGGCACAGTCTGACTGAGGCAGAGCTCCAGCTCTTAACCACATCGTGTGGCGCAGTGACCTGGGCCATTGGTGGGCCTCCCCGTACCTTGGCCCTGGCACCCTTAAGTCAGGGAGCCCCTTCCTAGCCCTGGAGACTATTGACATGTGGCACGTAGAATCTACTTCACACTTAGTGACTTAAACATGGCACAGTGTATCCCCTTCTTGGGAGGTAGACAGGTGTAAAAAAAAAAAAAAAACCAAGCCACCAGTCTTGTCTTGCTAAAAAATTTACTGTGACTACTTTGGCTTTTCGTCTGGCATGGTTGGTATCTTCTACTCAACAGATAATAAACCTATCCCATCACTCTGGACCAGATTTTGTTGCTCTGTATGTGTTGCCCTCTAAATGTAAGGCCATCACTAACAGAGAAAGTACTTGATGAATGAGGATGGCTCTCTGGTGTGGAACCTGAAACACCAGCATGTTAGTCCTTCTATCTCCCCCCGATGCTCTGGTGCTTCTGCAAACACGGCACAGTAGAACATGGTTCTCGGAATGGTTTCTGCATCCCTGGGGCAATCCCACACCAAAGTCAGCATTCTGAAGTAATATTAAAGACTTAACTGTTATCGAACATCCTAGCCAAGGTATGAAGCCAGATACTGTGGCTGCAGGGCCTGCACTGGAAAAGCTGTGCTAAATAACTCCCTAATTTTCTTGTCCAGTTTTGTAAACTAATGTTTAAACTAGACCTCAAAGAGGGGCCCACTCTACAGCCCTCTGACTCTTCCAGCTAAAGGGAAATGGCAACTGAGGGGTCTGCATCCACGGGGTGCCCATCAGAAATGGAATTATCCTGATAGAACATTCTCCTTCCCTGAGAGAGGATAGGCAAAGCTTGGCTTGACCCAGAAAGCAAATCCACGTAGGAAAAGACTCCCAGAGCACATGCTGCATTCTGATGCAGACTGACTTTGAACACGTCCCTGTGTTTTCTTGCTAGTTCCGTATGCAACATTAAAACTACGTTAAGGCATCAGGGTCTCCTGCATCAGCTTTGCTAGTTCATTCCACTTTCTACCTGCAGTGTGAGGCACATGTGGAGGATAAGCTGGTACAGGTGCATTTAGTCCTCACCTGCGCTCTGCTTTTGATGGCCTTTACAGCAAGGAGTGTGTGGCCAGGGAGGAGTTGGGAGGGTAGAAGGGCTGGGATATCCCTGAAAGAAGAACTCCTTTCTGCCTCTTTTGGCCAGCTAACTTCTCATTTTGTGGTGCCCAGAGGGTTCAGCCCAAGATGGTGATGGAGTACTGGACAGGGTGGTTTGACTCGTGGGGAGGCCCACACAACATCCTGGATTCTTCTGGTAAGTGCTTTGCAGTACCTACACCCAACATGTGTATTGACCTATGAAGTAAAAATCAGTTCCAAATAACGTGCTAATTGATGTAAATGAGCTGTAGGGTGCAAGGCTCCTGGGATTATCTGCATGTCAGAGTCAGCTCTTGATATTCCAGACTCATGTGTCTTGACATTTGAAGTGAACGGTAGGACTCTTAACACTGCTTTATTATGTTTTTATAATTAGATAGGCAAGGCACACCTATTGCAAACATCCAGCAAATACAGAAAATGTAGGAAGAAGAAATAAAAACCCCAGAGCCCGAAGAAAACACGTACAGTTGACTTTTGAACAAGGCAGCAGTTAGGGGTGCTGAACCCCCTGCACACTTGAAGTCTGGGTATAACTTTTGACTCCCCCCAAACTTAACGATTAATAGTCTACTATTGGCCAGAAACCTACTGATAACATACAATTGATTAACACATATTCTGTATATTGTCTGTGTCATATACTGTATTATTACGATAAAACCAGGTAGAGAAAAGACAATGTTATGAAGAAAATTGTAAGGAGGAGAAAATACTTTACAGCACTGCACTGTAAGAAATCATGTGTAAATGGAGCTGTGCAGCTCAAACCTGTGTCATTCGAGGGTCAGCTGTATATTGTGCAGGCAGTTCTGTGTCTCTGTCTGTAGCCCTGCACGCACGCAGAGATATGGATGCTCGTAGTCGTGACTGCTCTTTGTTACCTGCCTGTGCCCTGATTGACACAAATGAACAGCCTTCCATACTACTAGAGATTCCATCACTGTTTTAAAGAATGCAAAGAACCCTGTTGTATTGGTGATTAAACCACAATTTATTTAGCCATTCTCTTATTGATGAACAGTTAGGATGTTTCCAGTGGTTTTTGTTAATTGAACACCATTGCAGTGAACATTCCTGAAAACCCAGTTTTGCAAATCTGGCATATTATTTCCCTAGGATAAGTTCCTAGGAATAGAATTGCTACATTAATTCAATTTTGATATATATGTACTAAACTCTCTGGGAAGATTATAACAATTCTTACTATTATTAAATGAGAAGACCTACTTTCCACAGATTCATCAACACTGAGTATTAAAATAATTTTTAATATTTGTCAATCTGATTGCCAATATATATGTATGTGTGTATACTTTATATTTCTCCTTTGATGTTATCTTTTCACGTCTTTGGCTAATTCTCTAATAGAGGTGGGATTAGGGAGGTGGTCAGAAATTACATCTCCGACTAGGAGTCCAGTCTTTTGCATCTTACCAAGTGTGAGTAAGGGTTGAGAACAGTGGAGGTGGAAGGCTGTCATTGGAGACTTGGCCATGATGGAACCAACAGCTGGAAGACTGCAGCTCAGGGGCTGTGGGGCTGGCCCTTTCGTCTTCACACCCCTCATCGTCTGTGATTGCGGTTCTAGTGGAAGCTGAAGGGCAGAGCTGTAGAGTTGAATTTGATGGGGTTGGGGAGGGGTCAGGACAGCTGAGAGGCCAACAAGTCTGTGACTTGTCCCAAACTCTTGACTCGCTCTGCACATCCCCTTTCTCCCTTCCTCCTGCAGAAGTTCTAAAAACAGTGTCTGCCATCCTCGATGCTGGCTCCTCCATCAACCTCTACATGTTCCATGGAGGTACCAACTTTGGCTTCATAAATGGAGCCATGCATTTTCATGAATATAAATCTGATGTCACCAGCTACGGCAAGTATTCCCCAACACTGACCCTCCCTGGAACACTCCACATTAGCATGTCTGGGGCTTTTTATGCAGAGTCCTTTAGGGGCAGTGTCTGGCACCTTTAATGCATTTGGTTCTAGAGTGCCTGGGGAAGGGATGGTTTTGCCTGGATTATTACTTTTAAACTTCTAGAGCAGTAGGAGACTGAAGCCCACTCACATGCCTGTGAGCCTTTGGAAGTCATTGGAGGAAGTGAGAGGTATAGCCAGGATGGGGGAAGGTCCTTTGATGAGGGCAGCCTCTTCTCCCTGCTCAGGCCCTTGAGATGTGTGACTCCTGCACCCTTTAGGTTGAGAGTCCCCTGAAGGTAGGCAAGATGCAGGAAATTGAGGGTCATGCCATGGCCATGGCACCTTTGGTGGTACTTTATAGTATTTAGTATTTATTGTATTCTGACTGATGGCTTATACCAGAAGTGTTCTGCCTCCCAAATTGCTGGGATGAGGACCTTGATGCCATGCCCCAGCTTCTCCCTTCTCTTTTTGCTGCTGTGGACACTGTCCTGTGATACAGGTGACCAGTGACAGCATCCTGGTGTCTTGCAGACTATGATGCTGTGCTGACAGAGGCTGGGGATTACACAGCCAAGTACTTCAAGCTCCGAGGTTTCTTTGGCTCTATCTCAGGTACCTGACAGGCAGCAGACTCAAGCACCAACTTGGGCCCTTGCTTTTGCTCTGAGACCCCTGAAGAATTACTTCTTTACTACCCCATCTCAACCCCAGTTGACCTATGTACAAGAATGTCCCTAGCCAAGGACAGGCAAGTTTGGGAGACTGTTTTCATCATGTGTCATCACATGACACATGTCATCAGCTTTGCCTTTCTATGGGCATTAAGACTCCTGAAGATATGAGAAAGTAAAATCCCCTGCACCCCCCCTCCCCCATGTTGCCTTCCTAGCAGGGCCAGGCAGTCTAAGAATGTTTCCCTCTTGGCTCTAGGATAAAGGAGCACATTGGGCCGTGGACAGAAGCCAGGGGCTGGGGAGGCTGGAGGTGGCAGTGACTTTTTGGGTCCTCTTGGGTTGGCCCTGTTGTCTGTGTTGCAGGTGTCCCTCTTCCTCCCCAACCTGACCTCCTTCCCAAGACTGCGTATAAGCCCTTGAGACCGAATTTATACCTGTCACTGTGGGATGCCCTGCAGTACATGGAGGAGGTGAGTGCCTTGGGGCAGGGAAGCTGGGGCAGTCACTAGGTGGGCCAGTGGGGCTGTGGAGGGAGAAAAACCAACTCTGATAGCTTTGAGGTCCACTCCTTGACTTTAGAGCTCAGAAGAAAGAGCATAAACTTGTGGTAGAGTATGAACTGGGAAGGAACAAAAGGAATTTGAGGAAAACCTGGGTAACACAGTAGGTAGTCTCTCTCTCCAGCCTTGGTGGACGGGGAGGAGGGTGAATAGGCACGTGAATGGGATGTATCCCCCCTCTGAGAAGAGGGTGCCCCCCTGGAGCTGACCCAGTGAGGTGCCGTGATGCAGAAATGATGGTGGATTGAAAGACTACAGGTCTGGTACATCTCTGGGCTTCATTCCATTGTTATCACACATCTGCCCTCCCTGTGACCCTGGACAGCCTAGGGCTAATGAGATGAGAAGTCAAAATCAGAATTTTGGAGCTTGAAGAGCCAATCGGCCGGATTGGCTCCCTATGTTTGTATAGTGAGAAGTCAAACTAGAAGAAAAGTTTAGAGGGCCTCTTCCCCCAAATCCCCAGTCCCAGGTGGGGATCTGTCTGCTGTCTTGCACTCCCCCAGAAGGCTCAAGATGAGGTTGCTGCCCCCTTTCTCCTCTTCCTAGCCTATATCTCCCCTACTCTTCTCTGTACAGCCAGTCAATTCTGAAAAACCAGTCAATATGGAGAACCTGCCAATAAACAATGGAAATGGACAGTCCTTTGGGTACACTCTGTACGAGACCACCATTTCTTCATCGGGCATCCTCAGTGGTCTTGTGCGTGACCGGGGACAGGTAGGGGCAATTTCTCTTTTTTTAAAAAAAATTTTTATTTAAATTCAAATTAATTAACGTATACTATATTATTAGTGTCAGAGGTAGACTTTAGTGATTCATTAGCTGCATATAACACCCAGTACTCACTACATCAGGTGCCCTCCTTTATGCCCATCACCCAGTTATCCCTCCCCCACCCCCACCCCCCACCTCCCCTCCAGCAGCCCTCAGTTTGTTTCCTAGAGTTCAGCATCTCCTATGGTTTGTCTCCCTCTCTGTTTTCATCTTACTTTATTTTTCTTTCCCTTCCCTTCCCTCATGTTCATGTTTTGTTTCTTAAATTCCACATATGAGTGAAATCATGTGGTATTTGTCTTACTCTAACTTGTTTCACTTAGCATAATACACTCCAGCTCTATCCATGTCATTGCAAATGGCAAGATTTCATTCTTTTTGACAGCTGAGTAATATTCCACTGTACATATATACCACATCTTTATCCACTCATCTGCTGTTGGACATCTGGGCTCTTTTCATAGGTTATTGTGGACATTGCTGCTACAAACATTGGGGTGCATGTGCCCCTTCAGATCACTACATTTGTATCTTTGGAGAAATACCTAGTAGTGCAATTGCGGGGTCATTGGGTAGCTCTATTTTTACCTTTTTGAAGACCCTCCATACTGTTTTCCAGAGTGGCTGCACCAGTTTGCATTCCCACCAACAGTGCAGGAGGGTTTCCCTTTCTCTGCATCCTCACCAACATCTGTTGTTTCCTGACTTGTTAATTTTAGCCATTCTGACCAGTGTGAGGTGGTGTCTCATTGTGGTTTTGATCTGTATTTCCCTGATGTTGAGCATTTTGTCATGAGTCTGTTGGCCATTTGTATGTCTTCTTTGGAGAAATGTCTGTTCATGTCTTCTGCCCATTTCTTGACCAGATTTTTTTGTTTTTTGGGTGTTGAATTTGCGAAGTTCTTTATAGATTTTGGATACTAGCCCTTTATCTGAGAAGACATTTGCAAATATCTTCTCCCATTTCATAGTTGCCTTTTAGTTTTGTTTGCTGTGCAAGACCTTTTTATTTTGATGAAGTCCCAATAGTTCATTTTTGCTTTTGTTTCTTTTGCTCTTGGGGAATGTGTCTAGCAAGAAGTTGCTGTGGCCAAGGTCAAGAGGTTGCTGCCTGCATTCACCTCTAGGATTTTGATGGATTCCTGTCTTACATTAGGTCTTTTATCCATTTTGAGTTTATTTTTGTGTATGGTGTAAGAAAGTGGTCCTGTTTCGTTCTTCTGCATGTGGTTGTCGAATTTTCCCAACCCCATTTATTGAAGAGACTGTCTTTTTTTTCCATTGAATATTCTTTCCTGCTTTGTTGAGGATTAGTTGGCCTTAGAGTTGAGAGTCCATTTCTGGGTTCTCTATTTTGTTCCGTTGATCTGTGTGTCTGTTTTTGTGCCAGTACCATACTGTCTTGATGATTACAGCTTTGTAATAGAGCTGGAAGTCTGGAATTGTGATTTCACCAGCTTTGGTTTTCTTTTTCAACATTACTTTGGTTATTTGGGGTCTTTTCTGGTTCCATACAAATTTTAGGAGTCTTTGTTCCAGCTCTGTGAAAAATGTTGATGGTGTTTTGATAGGAATTATATTGCTTTGGGTGGCATATACATTTTAACAGTATTTGTTCTTCCAAGCCATGAGCATGGAATGTTTTTACTTTTTTTTGTGTCTTCATCAGTTTCTTTCATAAGTGTTCTGTAGTTTTCAGAGTATAGATCCTTCATCTCTTTGGTTAGGTTTATTCCTAGATATCTTATTGTTTTTGGTGTAATTGTAAATGGGATCAATTCTTTGATTTCTCTTTCCTGTGCTTCATTGTTAATATATAGAAATGCAACTGACTTCTGTGCATTTATTTTATATCCTGTCACTTTGCTGAATTCCTGTATCAGTTCTAGCAATTTGGGGTGGAGTCTTTTGGGTTCTTTACATAGAATATCATGTCATCTGTGAAGAGTGAAAGTTTGACTTCTTTCCCGATTTGGATGCCTTTTATTTCTTTTTGTTGTCTGATTGCTGAGGCTAGGACTTCCAGTACTATGTTGAATAATAGTGGTGATAGTGGACATCCCTGTCATGTTCCTAACCTTAGGAGAAAAGCTCTCAGGTTTTCCCCATTGAGGATGATATTCACTGTGGGTTTTTCGTAGATGGCTTTTATGATATGCAGTATGTTCCCTCTATCCCTACACTGTGGAGAGTTTTAATCAAGAAAGGATGCTTTATTTTGTCAAATGCTTTTTTCTGCATCAGTTGAGAGGATCATATGATTGTTGTCCTTTCTTTTATTAATGCCGTGTATCACATTGATTGATTTGCGGATGTTGAACCAACCTTGCAACACAGGAATAAATCCCACTTGGTCGTGGTGAATAATCCTTTGAATGTACTCTTGGATCCTATTAGCTAGTATCTTGGTGAGAATTTTTTTATCCATGTTCATCAGGGATATTGGTCTGTAATTTTCCTTTTTTGTGGGATCTTTGTCTGGTTTTGGAAACAAGGTAATGCTGGCCTCATAGAATTGAGTCTGGAAGTTTTCCTTCCATTTCTATTTTTGGAACAGTTTCAGAAGAATAGGTATTAGTTCTTCTTTAAGTGTTTGGTAGAATTCCACTGGGAAGTCATCCGGCCCTGGACTCTTGGTTGTTGGGAGATTTTTGATTACTGGTTATGGGTCTGTTCAGGTTTTCTATTTCTTCCTGTTTCAGTTTTGGTAGTTTATATGTTTCTAGGAATGCATCCATTTCTTCCAGATTGCTTAATTTGTTGGCATATAATTGCTCATAATATGTCTTAGAATTGTGTGTATTTCTTCAGTGTTGGTTGTGATCTTTTCTCTTTCATTCATGATATTATTTATTTGTGTCCTTTCTCTTTTATTTTTGATAAATCTGGCTAGGGGTTTATTGATCTTACTGATTCTTTCAACAAACCAGCTCCTATTTTCCTTGATCTGTTCTACTATTTTTTTGATTTCTATACTATTGATTTGTGCTCTAATCTTGGGGCATCTTATTTCCTGTGACCTTGTGGTCATCAAGTCCTACCATATGCATCTGACTCTCCTCAGTGCTCACATATCTGCCTGTTACCAGTGTGTAGAAATGGCCCATCACCATCAGTTCTGCTGGCATTTTCAGCTACAATCATGGGCATTCATTTTTCCTCTATGCCTGGCTAACCCCCATTTTCACTGCACACACATAATGTTACCCCTTTCTTTGCTTATGAGAGATCCCTCTTATGCCTCCCTCCTGTCAACCCATGGATGCTTTCTGTCTGTTCATTTGGCAGGTATTTGTGAACACAGTGTCTGTAGGATTCTTGGACTATGAAAGGAAGAAGATTGTTATTCCCTTGATCCAGGTTTGTTATCCTGGGGAGCTGGGTGATGGCTAGCACCAAGCTGCTTCCCGAGCAGGTTTGGTGGGAGTCAAAGAGGAAGACCTGGAAGACAGGAGGCTCCTTAACCACAGAGCTGCTGATGGAAAGAGGGGCAAAACATTGCTATCTGATCAGTGGGTACTCTTTTACCCCTATTCTCAGAGTTCAGGGAAGAACTGGGGTTCCACAAAGAAACTCTGAGGTGCAGCTGTGATCTTATGGCTGGGGAATCAGGTGGTCATCATCAACCACTATGTTCCTGGCAGGGTTACACCAGGCTGAGGATCTTGGTGGAGAATCGCGGACGAGTCAACTATGGGGATAACATTGATGACCAGCGCAAAGGTGGGTCATAGCATGTGCTGAGAGAAGAGCTTCTAGTGCTCAGCAATGCCTGGCTATTTTTTCTTCAAACCAGTGCACCAGCTGGTCATGGAGGCTGACTATAGTGAGGTGGAGTCATGGTGGCCCATTGGAGGGAATTGGGTTGTGGAAACCCATTGAAGGGAGGTGGGTCATGGAGGCCCACTGGAGGGAGGTGGTTTGTGGAGGCCCATTGGAGGGAGGTGGGTAATGGAAACCCATTGGAGGGAGGTGGTTTTGGAGGCCCATTGGAGAGAGGTGGATTGCAGAGGTCCATTGTGGGGAGCTAACTCATGGAAGCCTATTGAAGAGAGGTGGAAGTGGGCCTTCCTGAAAGGCCCACGTGGGTTCTGACCTCTTTCTTATGCATGTTGTCCACATGGCCATGGTGAACACACAGGGAACACTGAGCCAGCCTCTCCAGATCTCCCTGCGTTGTAGTCTGCTTTAGTAGGGGACTATCTGCTGGCGCTGGGCTGGGGGTGGTGAGGCTTAAGGAAGGGGATTCCCAGGAAGCCAAAATGGGCATAGGACCCCTGCCTTCTTGGGTCTCCACACTGAAGTTTTCTTTTCTTTTCGAGTTTTTATTTATTTATTTATTTATTTATTTATTTATTAATTTATTATTTAGATTTTATTAATATATTTATTTAGAGGGGGAGAGAGAAAGAGAGCATGTACACATGTGAGTAGGGGGAGGGGCAGAAAGGGAGGGAAAGGGAGAGAATCTTGATCAGACTATGCACTGAGCATGGAGCCCGACAGAGGGCTTGATCTCACAACCCTGAGATTATGACATGAGCCGAAACCAAGAGTTAGACACGTAACTGACTGAGCCACCCAGGTGCCCCAGCATTTCTTTTCTTGATCCACTGTGGAAACCCATTGATGATCTCATTTGTGGTGGGGAGGAGGAGGTAGTACATGTAGTAAACAAAATGCTCTTGATGGAATGCTCCCCTAGGAATATCTCACCAACTCATTTTATTTTTCCTGGCCTTCTAAAACTTCTCTGCTTAAATTTGCCTCTTCCTTTTCATCTATCAAAATGTCGGTGGTTTCATGTAAGTTGTAAGAATTCAGACAAATAAATCCTACTACGGTAAGGGATACTGGTGGCCTCCCAACTCTCTCATGGGTGTTTGCCTTTGTAATGAGGAAATTTGTGCATTCCTTCCTTTCCTGCCTGGGAAACACTGTGGCCCAGCCATTGGGGGTTTCTTGGGTCTTGGGGTTTGGCCCTCTCCAGATAGGCCTCATGGTAGCTTCTAGTACTGTCCAGGCTTATCTTCCTTTTCCCCTAAAGAATCCCCCAGTGTTCCTCTTTGGATATTGGCTTCTTCCCCTAGGAGCTCCATCTGCAGGCTCATCTTCACTTCCTTTGCTCTCTTATGGGCAGGAAGGGATTGCCAGGCTCACCCCATTCTCAGTCTTTGCCTCCCCAGGTTCCTGAGTAAGATGTGCCCTGGACTCTCACTGTGGAGTAATTATCCCCTAGAACAGTTCAGTGTTTATAAGTCAAAGACCTCCCCGCCCCAACCTGTACCTGTAATTTAAGAGTCTGTAGGCTCTATGAAACCTGTTTGCACTTCCCAGCCTATTCAGATTCCCTCTCTAGCAATTCAGCAGCTCCATGATTGTGAGGACCATGGGAGCTGCTCCAGGACTAACATTGCTGGCCCCTTCCCCAAGGACTAGCTAATCACTATGCAAGTGTGTGTGGGTCCTCAGACTTGGATACCCAAGTCATATTGCCATCTGTTCACAATTTAAATACTTAACATATCTTCAGTCCTAGGTCATGTAGAAGATTTCTGGCTGAGTTATTAGGTCTGTTTAGTCTGGGACCCTACTGAATCTGATCTTGAAGCTAAGTTAGAACTGCTGTGACCTCTTGATTATCTGCCCTTTGGGACTCATTTTGGTCCCAAAATGGAGCTTCCCCTTCAGAGAAAAGCCAGAGATTATTCTCACCCAATGACATTCTCAGTTCCCATTACCCTCAGATGTATTCTTCTGTGCAAATCCTAGGGAGGTCCTGGCCAACACTGCTGTTACTCATTCTTTTCTCCTTTGGGATTTCTAGAGAAGGTTTTATGCCATATGAAGAGCTCTGTAGGGAGTATATACTTCTGGAGGAATCCTCACTGGAACTTTTCAGAAATTCTCCATGTATGTGCAGGGCCTTAGCTGGGTCAGCTCTGCCCCTGCCTTTGGCCTCATTCATGTTTTCTTGGCTTCTTCCCACAGGTTTAATTGGAAATATCTATCTGAATGATTCTCCCCTGAAAAAATTCAGAATCTACAGCCTGGATATGAAAAAGAGCTTCTTTCAGAGGTGAGTCCCCACCGCATAAAGTGTGTGAACCCATGGATAAGGTGCAGTAAGAGGCAGGAAGGCCCAGAAAACTGCTCTGCCCTAGCCCCTCCTACTCAAGAGTAAACAGACCCAGAACCCAGAGCAACTTGCCCAAGGTAGGGGCAGTACCAGCACTAGAGACTAGGGAATTTCCATGGTACCCTGGTTAACAGGTGGGGGTGGGTGAGGGTATTTGGAATGCCTTTGTAATTAGATTCGGAACAGGGTCCAAATCTGAGTAAGTGCCCCCCTTTCTTTCTTGTCTTCCATTCTTCTGTTCATAGGTTCAGCATCGACAAATGGAGCCCTATCCCTGAAGTACCTACGTTCCCTGCTTTCTTTTTGGGTGCCTTGTCTATTTCCCTTTCCCCTTTTGACACCTTCATGAAGCTGGAGGTTTGTAGTCCCCTCCCTGCCTGGGCTCTCCAGCCTTCCCTCAGAGAGCTCTGAGCCCAAGACCTGTACCTGTCCTTGCTGGAGCCCTCTATACCACTTGTACCCAGAGATTCTCTATTTTGCCCTCTCTGAAGGGCCCCTGGGGCCTCCCTGGGGTGGAGGAGTGGATTCAGATCAGAAGAACCACCTGGTGGTACTTCTCAGGGTCCAGGTCTGCTCTTGGGTACCTTGCTGGGGAGCTCAGAGCTAGTGGATTCAGGAGATAGAACACCCTTGTGTTAACCTCATGGCTGTTGAAATATTCATTCACACTGGTATCTTGGAAGCTGAGAGAAGCACTCATGGCATGTGTCTATCTCTGTCTTCCTATGTGACTTTATATTTGGTGGCTTTCATGGTCAACTAATCCTTTTCCCACTCTGCTTAAAGGGCTGGGAGAAGGGGGTTGTATTCATCAATGGCCAAAACCTTGGACGCTACTGGAACATTGGACCCCAGGAGACCCTATACCTCCCAGGTGCCTGGTTGGACCAAGGCATCAACCAGGTGGGAGCATTTGCAGCTTCTTCCCTTGACCCAGCCCTCCCTGGTATCACAATGTTTTCCTGGGAGCGGGGTTCAGGTAACAGTCTATTTAGGCTCATTACGGTAGGAGATGGGGCAGAAGGTTTAGCCAGCCCCTTCTGCATTCCTCCTTGGTGATGATGAGTTGTGGGTCCCTGTTCCTTCCAGTGTGGCTCTCAATCCCTTCCCCTAAGGCACCCTCATCTGGCTCCAAGACAAACCTTTACTGCTGTCATACACCAGCCCTTCTTTCCCCCAGGTTATTGTTTTCGAGGAGAAGATGGCAGGCCCTGTGATACAGTTCACTGAAACACCCCACCTAGGCAGGAGCCAGTACCTTGATTGAGCAGCACCACCCCGCGCCCCCTGGTGGCGAGAAGCAGGAGAGCACCACAGTCCCCCGTCAGCTGACCGGAGCCTGGTGCTCTGCTCCTTCACACCCTCCCATGCAGGAGAGTTTCTTTAAGTAGCATCCTCAGGCAGCCATGTGGCTACAGCAAGGCCCGCTCGTTCAGTTCAAGACCCTAAACTTGGAAGAACTGAAGAAGAAAAGTGGGATAGGAGGGTGGGACCCCCTCCTTACCTAAGTGGCTTTAAAAAATTTTTTTATTGTTATGTTAATCACCATATATTACATCATTAGTTTTTGATGTCCTAAGTGGCTTCTTGACTGGGCTTTGTTGCTGGCACCTTTCCTACTTCCCTTTAACTTCTGGGAGAAGACAGAGGGATGTCCCTCTAGGGTAGGAATGTCTAATCAGATGTCCACGTGATGATGCCTGGGGCCCTCAGTTGGGCATAACTTCTAGACACAGGTTTGCTCCTATGATGTTCTCACCTGTGCTCAACCATGCCCCTCCTGGCCCCTTTTCATCTGAAATAGGAGGTTTGTCACCATTTGTAGAGGATAGGGAAGCGGGTAGGTGTCTCACCTGAATCATCTTTGTTCTTCTCAACCCTCCCCAAGCCTTCTCTGGGATTCTGGAAGAAACTATGAGAGACACACACATTTTCTCCTCATTTTCCACTCTAATTGCATCTGACAGGATGACAAGCCAAGCTTAGGAGAAACAGAAATACTCAGCCACTTACTTTCCTGAATTAGAGAGTATTTCCAGTTTTACTCAATGAGAAGAAGCATCAACTGAGGAGGGAATGCAGGCCCTAGTAAGAACCACACCCTGATCTGAAGGCCCAGCTCTGGGGGCATGGGCAAGTAGTCTCCCTGGAATGTTGGTGTAGCCACGGGGCCCACAGGCCTAGTCCAGATCTTGCATCCAGCTCAGTCTCTCTCCCTCAACTCCCTGTAACTAAGCAGCAGGGAGGAGAAGCAGCCTTCCTTTGCAATTGTCTGTCCAAATTTGAGGCGCTTGTTCTAGGGATTGAATCCACTGGGTTAGCTCTGGTTCACTGTCCTGAATTGCAATAAAGCAACAGAGTTGAATCAAACCCTTTTTGGTGATACTTTTCTTCTGATTCAGATTAGAAGAACCACCTGGTGGTACTTCTCAGGGTCCAGGTCTGCTCTTTGGTACCTTGCTGGGGAGCTCAGAGCTAGTGGATTCAGGAGATGTGCTTCTATTTATCACAAGCAAAGGTATTGTGGGGTCAGGTACCCACTTAGCCCATCCAGCACTCAGAGTCTAGACAGACTTTACCCGGTTAGTAGGTGCTCCAGCCCCTGGCTCCTTACCACCTCCCTCCTGACCTTCATTCTGCCTGAAATGTCATCGTGAATCGGCAGTGCCCTTGGGGAGGAGAAGTCATATACAGATCCATTCTGGTGCTGGTGGGCAGGTGCTAAGAATCTGCTGGACAGCCAAGAGCTCTCCATGTGAGGTAGCGGGTGAGTTTTCCTCACACATAACATCTGGATTGTACTGCCACAAACTATCTTCAATAGTAATCAAAGTTAGATAGCCAACACCTCCTCGGGACGGTGCCTGTACCAGGAGCCCATAAAGACCTTTGCGGAATAGCAGGCCATGAGGCTCCCAGCAGCCCCATGGCTCCCATCTTGGGCTTGCCTAAGGAAGGGGGCATTTGTGGTGTGTAGCCATTGGGCCCACGAGCTGAGCCTGGGTCAAGGACAGACAGTTAGTTACAAGGGGCTGGGCCCAAGGGTCCACAGGGGCAGAGAAATGGAGCTTATGAAAGTGAATTTCATGGACAAGGGCTGGGGAGCCAGATACGGGTAAAGTCCCCAGTCTTGCTCAAACTCATCTGCTGTTCCTGAATTGCCTTGCAATGGAAAGCACACAGCTAACACTCGGATGAGACCAGGGCTTGGGCATGGCCAGCACTGGAGAGTGTGTCATTGCACCTTACTTTACACCTGAGCATAATTTTACAAAGGTGTATGTAAAAGTTGGCTTCTGTTGGAAAATGTGATAGGGAACTGGAGTTTGAAATGAATCTTACGGTGATCCTTTTGTAAAGTGAAGAATCCCCTTGAATTGCTTTTATCCAAATCTGTGCAGGGCTGCTTTGGTCCTCTTGCACCAACTCACTGTTCTTGACCTTCTTATCTGCCTGCTGACCCTGCAGCTTCTCTCTGTCAAAGCCCCTTGGCAGAGCTCATCTTCCAGAGTTTATTCATGGTTTGTCCAGACCTTCCTGCTGGATGGCCTCATCACAGAGTCTTTAGAAGACTCCTCATAACCCTTAACCTCTAAATGCTGAAGGTCTTCAGGCCTGCTCCTTGGGCCTTTTCTTCTGTCCACACTCACTGTTGGGGGGCCTCACTGACTTGGGGGGTTTGTAAATAGCCTCAACATTCATGCTCTCTGATGTTTTTCTCCATCCAAGCTCCAGGCCCACTCACTGTCCACTCACCTTCTCTCCTGCGTGTGACACCACACTCTGATGACTCCCCCCGTGATCCCTCCTGCACTCCACCCCGCAGCAGGAAATGGCAATTCTATTCTGTGTCTTAGATTTGTTTTGGCTCCTCTCTTTCGTATTGCATAGCCACTCCATCAGGTGATTCTCCTGGCTGTACCTCAAAACACGTCCAGAACTTGACCACTTCTCTCTGCCCCAAGGTTTGCTCTTCTGACTCACTGTCCTCTCCTGCCTGGATCATGGCAGGAGCGGCCTCACCTAGCCTACCCTGCCCTCTGTTTATCATCAGCACAGGAAGGGGAGTGATTTCTTTACAGGCCAGTTAGATCGTGTTGGTCCTTTGCTCCAAACCCTCCAATGGTTCCAATTCCCTTTTCCCTTGGGGGAGAAGCCGAAAGCTTTGCCCTGGTTTCCAGGGCCAACGTATTCTGCACCCTCCACCAACTGCGGTCCATTCCCCCCTCCCACCCTACCCCTTCCCATCTTGCCAGTCACTTGCAGGCACACTGGCCTTTTTGCTGCTCTTTAAACATGCTAAGTACTCTCTGCATGGGAGCAAGTTCTTTTCCGGAAAGCTCTGACCCAGGTAACTGCTGCACTGCTCTGTCCCCTTATCAGGGAGGCTCTTCTGACGGCCCTAGAGTAGGGATCAGCTCCTCCTCAGCTCCACTCTGACACCTCCATCCAGCCTCATACTTCTCCTTAGACCAGATCACATCTGAAATACTGTAGATTTGCCTAGTGTCTGTGTGTCTCATTTCCCAAGGAGGGAAGCTCCATGAAGCCAAGTGCTTTGGTTTTTCACTGCTCTGTCCTCGCTCCTAGAATCATGCCTGCCAAATAACTACTTGTTGGATGGTTAAAACAGTATATGAGAATAAGGCAGGGCTACGGAGGGTTAGGGCTGTTAAAAACCATGTTTGACTTTTAATTTTGGAAACAAATTAAATACAGTTAAATTAAAACCGACCAGATGGTGCAGCTGCATGGGCTCTGTTCTCGAGGCTCTGAGCCCCCAGCCTCACTCCTTTGTGGTGGGGGGCAGGAACAGACTGGGTCTGGGAAACAACTTGTAGTCATGGACCCAACTCTGACTTGGAAAAAACCCATTCCCAACAAAGATGAAAGCTGCAGTCCACCAGGGTTATAATTATAAATAAATACACATGCAGCTAAGAGAGGCTATTAGGTGAAAACAACGGAAATAGCATCCGCCAACAAAAACAAAAACAGAGAGGGAGGATATCCCATTTTGTTGTTCATTATCAATTTCCTGAAAAATGAGCCCTGGGTTTTTGGCTAAGAAGGTAGCCTAAGACCAGCCAGGCTGACCTGAGCATTCAGGGCTGGTTTTGGTGAGTGAGGCAGTGCCGTGCCTGGGCATAAATTCACTCATTTGGGGGGGTGCCCTGTGCACACCTCCTCGCTCCCCTCCCACGCCACCCCACTTGGTTCTGAGGGGTTGATTCCAGAGCCACCATCGAAAGTGTAAGAGGCTAGGGAACGTCCTGCAAGGTGGCTCAGGGTTCTCAGGGATGCGATCCCGTGGGGTGGTTTCACGAATGCTGTGGGAAGTTAAATCCATTTCAAAATTGGCAGCCAATGCTATTTTTTGAATGTTAGGTTGCTGGACTGAATCCTACCCACCCACCCACCCAGGAATGGGTTCTCAGCGGTCCTCAGACCGGTCCTGTGAGTTTAAACGGAGTGGGGGCCGTTAGCGTTAAAAAATAAACACCTCTTCAGTAGGCTCAGGCCTTTCCTTTTCCTCCACTTGGGAGGGAAATTGTGCTTCCAGCTTTCAGGAGCATGAGTGAGAGAATCAGAAGAGGGCTGTCCCTGTCAGTGGCCTGTCCTGGTGCAGGGGGCAGTACAAGCACACTGTTCTTTCTCTGTGGGGGCGGGGGGGGGGGAGAGGGGACAAGCAGCAGGCTTGTTCCTCGTGCTCCCAGCTCAGGGACAAGGGAGGTTTTCATTCCCATTTTGTGTTTAAAATAGAATGATTTCCAAAGTAGTGTGTGCTCAGGTCTCTTTTCCCCTCAGGGTCCAAATGATCTCTGCCCCTTTTCCACAAATTCCTCTGTTCACCCAAAGCCCCATCGCCCCCAACCAGGGGCAGAAAGGAGTATGGAGCTGCCCCTGCCTCCCTCCTCTTCCCACCTTGCCCACCCAGGCTCACTTCGGCCCCTGAGGTCTGTGGTTCTCAAGAGCTCTGGAAAGAGGGCTCCTGGCCTCCCCAGTCCCGGCCCAGGCAAAGGGCCCTGGGGCCCAGTGGGCAGGGGGGAGGCAGTGTGTAGACTGGGGCCTGCATGGTCTTAGTCCAGGTCAGTCCATGACCTGTGCTGGCTCGAGGGCCCGCCTCCTTCTCTGTGCTGGAAGGAGCAGGCTTGAGGGATGTGTGGCCAGAGTAAGGGGCTCCACTCCTACCACAGCCTGGGGTATGGGGGAGCCTGATGGCAGGCCCAGGCTCCCCTCATGCAGGGTGGTCGCCTGTTGGGATCAAAGACAGCCTTATGCTCTGGAAGTAGGAACCAGAGGAAAGCCAGAGAGGTATGTCTACTTGAGAACAGCTCTCTGAGGAGGGGCGGGGGTGTTCCTGATGCCTGGGCAGGGGGCTGCTCTCCGGTCTTCAGGATTCCCTGGCCGGATGGCCTGGCCTGTGTGGTCACGCTGGGCCCCAGGAGCAGGGAGCCAGGGGAGGCCACACTGCACTGGACAGCCGGGGTCTTTTCACCCCTCCCCCAGCCTGGCGTCACTCCAGGGCTTCGGTGCCCACTGCGTCTGCCCCCGCAGGCCCTGTCAGCGCGGGAAGCTCTGGGGAGGCATGCTGGGGCACTGGCTCGCTGACTGGCATGGCTCGACTAGCAGGGGGGCCCCCTGGTCGTGCTGGATGGGAGAGAACAACAGGTCTGGGATTTCTGTGCTTTAGGTTCTCCGTCCTTTGTCCTGGCATCAAGCTGGGCTCTCTCTGAAGCCCTTAGAATAGAAAGGAGGGTGATGGTGATTCCTTAGGAGTTTGCCTCGGAGGGACCATCAGCCACGGGAAGAGGATGGAAGGCCAGGAACAGGGTCTGAGAAGGAGGCTCCTGTGAAGGGGAAAGGAGGAATATGGGTAAGGCAAGAAGGGGGGAGGCAGGGAGGGGCAGCCAGTCTGGCCAAACTGCCCAATCCTGAGCCCCCTTCAGAGTCCACCCAGGAGCTCCGCAGAGCCCAGCCCCTAGGGTCCTCTGTGGGTCTCTTACTGAGAGGCGGCTGGGCTCTTCCAGTGACCACTGGAAGTGAGGAGGCAGGCAACGGGGCTGTGTACTGGTGCATTTTCAGCAGCACTGGTCAAGCTGATTTTTTGGTTCAGGGCACAAAGCAGGCCGACTGACACCCTGTGGTCTCCTGTGGGCAGGGCAGTGGCAGACATGACAGGTACACTGAAGCTTAACTCTGAGGCCAGAGGACAGATGTGTATTCCACCGTCTGAGCTCCCACCTCTGTGATGACATTATAGAAGAGCCCACAGACGATTCCCGACTTGGAAAATCAGCTGGCACAATTCACTTCATTTAGCTTTTCTGAACACCATTCCTTTACCTCTAAAATGTAGATAGGTCCTG